ATTACATACGTCACAGGAAAATTGCCGCTCTCCACTATGTATACGTTGATGTGCCTTCAGATAACTGTTTGCAATAAACGATTCATTACATATATCACAGGAAAATGGCCGCTCCCTAGTATGTATGCGTTGATGTGCCTTCAAATAACTGTTCACAAAAAATGATTTATTACACACATCACAGGAAAATGGCCGCTCCCCACTATGTCTACGTTGGTGTACCTTCAGGTCACTGCTACACGTATATGACTTAGCACACATATCACAGGAATATGGTTCCTCACCACTGTGTTTGCGTTTATGTACTGTCAGCGAACTGCTATTGATAAATGACTTATTACACAAAGCACAGGGAAATGGACGTTCCCCAGTATGTATGCGTTTGTGTACCTTCAGGCCACCGCTAGTGGTATATGACTCATTACACATATCACAGGAAAATGGCCGCTCCTCACTATGTATGCGTTTATGCACTGCCAGCGCACTGCTATTTCTAAATGACTTATTACACAAAGCACAGGGAAATGGCCGCTCCCCACTATGTATGCGTTGGTGTACCTTTAGGCCACAGTAAGACGTATATGACTTATTACACATATCACAAGAAAATGGCCGCTCACCACTATGTATGCGTTTGTGCCCCTTCAGGTCACTGCTACGCTTATATGACTTAGCACACATATCACAAGAAAATGGCCGCTCCTCACTATGTATGCGTTTATGCACTGCCAGCGTACTGCTAGTGCTAAATGACTTATTACACACATCACAGGAGAATGGCCTCTCCCCATTATGTATGCGTTTGTGTACCTTTAGGCCACAGTAAGTGGTATATGACTTATTACACACGTCACAATAAAATGACCGCTTCCCACTATGTACACGTCGGTGTACCTTCAGGTCACTGCTAGTGGTATATGACTTATTACACATATCACAAGAAAATGTCTGCTCACCACTATGTTTGAGTAGATGTACCTTCAGACGACTCTTAGAGGCATATGACTCATTACACACAGCACAAGAAAATGGCCGCTCTCCACTATGTATGTGCTGATGAGTATTCAAATACCTACGCTCACTAACTGATTTATTACAAACATCACAGGAATATGGCGGCTCCCCACTATGTAGGCGTTGAAGTTCCTTCAAGTGACCCTGTCTACTGAATGTTTTATTAGAAACATCACAGGAAAATGATCGGGCTGCAGCATGTATATGCCGATATCTCTTCAGACGACTACTACGGGTGAATGACTTATTATCAATGTCACATGGAAATGGACATTCACTTTGTATGAACTGATGTTCATTCAGCACACACTGCAAAAAACAGAGACAAACATTAGAAGAAATCCAACTGGAAGAGATTTCCTTAGATACTCCATCAAAATACTAGGATTGTATATAGGTTACGACACAATTGGTTCCACGTAAATCCTTTCAAATCATCATTCATCACTGGCAGGGATTGCAGTGGACATTTCTTGCTAAGAATGCGGACCACTAAAAACCTCCTGTAAACACATCAACAAACTTTTGCTCTCCACAGACAGTAGGGTCTCTGAGTCAACAATAACTGCACTAGCAAGGGCCAACAGCAATATGGTATGCGCACAGACAGGCAGTCACAGGGTTCCAGGATGAACTGATCATCTACTTTCCTCTGTTACAATACAGCATGCATGGATACCAATGCGTATTGGTGTACTGCTTGTTGCGGGAACATGTTTACTGAGTCACTGCCTAGGGAGGATACACATGCAGACATACAGTGCAAGTAGGATTAGAACAGAGGAACTGTCCAAGGAGCAGTATTCCATGTGGTCCAATACATAATGAAATGCAGATGACAACCCCAAAGTTGTAAGACTACACAGCCGTTGTCTAGCAATAGCCAATTCCATGGTGCTTCTCTGATGCACCATCCCTGCTTTCAGGCCTCATGTCACATCTCACATATATCTTTGTTTGGTATTGTACCAGCCATCTCCT